GGGGGACAGTATTGCCAATCACAATGTGACAAAATACAAGAGAAAGCATATAGCTTAGTCGAAAAAAAGAAAACATAAAAATAAAAAAAACATTAAAAAAAGTTTAAAAAAACATTAAAAAAACTTAAAAAAGTAAAAAAAAAACATTAAAAAAAAAACAAGACGACATGAAAGGATGGCAACTAAAAGTAGTAAAAAGCATGGTTACAATCCGGATATCTGGAGAGCCATGTGGACAGTCCAGATGTTCGGGTTGCGATACCAGTGTTCCAATTCGAAATATATATTTTATTATTTTTTCCAAACTTTCTCAGAGAAACAACAGTCTCTAAAAAAGAAGGTTGTGCAGAAATGGAATACAAACAACTTTGGGGCTGAGGTTCATTGTGGAAGTCCTAAGCAAGCCCAAAACCAAAAGTCAGAAAGAACATAAAGATACCTTTGTGAGCACTCTTCTTGATAAGGACGTCCAGAGTGTGTGTCTGGTCCAATCGTGTACGGGTCTAGGTCCGGCATAACCATGGCAAGAAGATGTTTGTAATAGTGAAAGAATTTTTTATTTATTTTTTTTTCTTCATACAAAAGGTCGTGCAGGTTGGAGATGGCCTAGGGGGTCCTTATCACACGGCCAGCGAGAGCCGCCCCACCAGGGGAGCCAGCGTTTCGTGCTTGGTATGCCAGGTACCACAGCCTAGCCAGTACTACAAAATCGGACCTTATCCCCTTATGATCCTGCTCCCAATTGTATTGTATGCCCATCCCTTTCCCACACCCACTAGCTCCACAACTCCAAGATACACCCCCACCCCTCTCAAGATCAGGCACTCTACCCTCACTGTATATTCCCTTTATTTTATTCCCCTCCTCATTCTATCGTCTCGGAAAAACCCTCCCATAGCACAACTTGCATAAGGATCAAGAAATTGAAGAGGATCAGGATCTGATGCAACTTACTCCATTTCCATCGGAATACAGAGATTGGAGATCAGCACGTCGTACGCTATGGCGCTACACGCTCTTGAGAGCGCCACAGCACGCGGTCGTCTGGGGCGGCTTGCGAGCCACACAGCACAGGGACGTCCGGGGCAGGCCCACCGCTTTGCGAAGGCCTGTTGCAAATTTTCAGTAGTATTTTTGCATTTATTTTTCTATCTGGTAAATCCCCTGAGGTCAGTCTCTAGCGCTGTCTGGCATAGCCTGCATCTGCGACCCACAAGTAATCCGCCAGCCTCGCTCTCATGTCTAAGCAACGCGCATACCACTATGGGCACACATACTAGCAGGCTCTCCTATCTAAGCAGTGCCTGCTTTTCATCCCCCTTCATCCCCACGATGGAGGCCCCGTAACTATCAAGGGGCAGACCAGTATGCAATCCTTACTGCATGGTCCCATCACCCCCTCAATTTCGCGCCAAGGGTCACCAGTCACTCCCCACCTAGAGACCCCACCCATAGGCCAAGCTAAGACCACCACTAATCCGGCACATCTCAAACCCACCCATGTGTATCGGGTGACAATTCATCCCTGGCCCCTCACCCTTTCCCCTACCCCAAGCAGTGACAAATCCCCTCCCCCAAGGGCAAACCATATGCCGGGATCTGGTACCCCCTCAACGTACCCCAACATGCAGCAACCAGTGTGCAAATGGCCGCGCGTCAACCTAACGCGTATCCAGCAACTACGTGCCAAGCAGGAGCTCAAAGTGTTGAACCCACGACCTGATACCACGATTCACAATTGCTACCGGTGCTCTGCCCACTAAGCACATTATTGACGGAGTATTATAAACTCATATCGGCAAAGAGAGGGTACACAAAACAGTAGAAACATGTTGGCAACAATGATAGGATACAACGTTACGAACTCAAGATAAGAAGCCAAGCAAGTTGTGTCTCACACACATCATGACAAAGATTACAAGGCGAGCAAGGGAGATCAGATCACTGCAAACAGTACAAAGTCAGTTACAAACTGACAACACATTTATGACGGGCCTTGCAGGATAGAAATTCCTCCAGGAATAACACAGAGAAGCAGTAAATGGGCATGACGGAGCCGAAGGATGCCAAGAAAACGAGCAAAAGACTCGTGAAAGGGAGGACAAAAGCGACAAGCATGACTCAGTGAGAGAGAGCTAGCAAGGGATGAAAGTCGCGAAACGCATGCTGGATGCTCCAGCAGCAATTGCAGGAGCATGTCAACATGAAACGCCACTCTGCCCAAGTGTCGGTTGCGCAGCCGCAGTAGCATGCATGACAGCATTAGTTGTCCACAGCTCGATGGCAACCTGACTAGCAAAGAGAAACACATGGGCCGACTACCACCTTTGCCCTAATAGAACGTGTGAAAATCATGGAAGTCACTGACCTAATAACTGGCCTGGCCTGGATAGAGATACAATGAGCCTGGGCTGGAGCCTGGGCTTTATCCAGGGGAAAACAGTAGCTGCAACACGGTAAATCAGCAGGACTCGATTGTAGATTGCATGTTGCTTTTCTTTGCCATCTCAGCAGCATCTGTGTGCACAGTCTCCTCTCTCAGACACTAGATTGGCCACCAAGGCAACTGCATCTTGGACAAATGAGGAAAACGCGCTCCATCTCCAACAGCTGGGTGGGAGGGGACAATCGCTGAGTCTTGGCGGGATGGGACGTCATAAGTGTGCCAAAGTACTCACTTTGCCATCAAGGCAAGGAGGAGCATGGATGTAACTATAACCCAGCTGCTTAATTCACATGATAACTTGCAGACCACAAATGCCAGAAAGTGTGTGAGTATAGACTGACTGAATGATCAGATTTGGTCAGCATAGTTCTGTGTGTGAGTATAGACTTCAACACGATGGTCAGATTTGGCTTCTAACACCTTCAGCTCTGTCTCTGCGCTGTATCACGAATGGCATCAGTCCGAGAGTTATATGCAATGACTTGCTGGTTCCAGGTTGCCTGTAGCCTCACTCTGACGAGGCTGTACCATAGTCAGGGGTAGATTCGCAATTTTGTTTGGCTGAAGACTAACCGAGAGACCTGCCTGTATGGAAAATTCGTGAGGGACATATCTGTAAATATAGAAATATGGGCCCAGTACTATTTCGATTTTCGTACAGGTACCCTAACTGCGAATAGCAGACCCGGGCTACCCCTGGGACAGACAGGCCCTATGGGCCTACGCTGATAGACGGTCCTATAGCCTATAGCCGGGTAGGGATAGGCCCTAGAGGCCGAAACAGAGTACCGGTCGGTCAGTCAGTCCGGTCTAGGTCGCTCTAGGCTAGTGCTAGGGTATAGATAGGATGGGGACATCGGTCCTGGGCTTTTGGCAGTTGACACTTCGTGGTGGAGGTTGCGGCACACACAGTATCAGTTCGTGGTTGCTGATTCCTGTGGTGGAGACGGCGGACATAGCCAGACCTTCGGAGTGCTGACTGGACTGGGGTCACGCTGTCCGCTCTGACTCTCTGGGAGTCGAAGCGGTCTGGATCATAGGTCTGATGCGTTGGAGCACGTGGTGCACTGCTGACCCTCCTCAGGAGTAGGGTCCCAGTGGCGATGCAGCCATAGCTGCATCTTCTCAAAGGTTATCATCGTCTGGACTTCATCTTCATCAGGGACTGTTGGCGCTCAGCTTCTTCTTCATCATCTGGATGACGATTGGCTCTGGGAGCCTGTTTCACTTTGGCGCAGGCCACTGAGTTGGATGTCAGGGTGGCGTTGGGTGTTACCTGGGGTTTCGGTGCTATTCTTAGTTGTCAAGGGTGTTGGGGTTGAGGCGCTACCCCTCTGAGGGTAGCGTAACAGGGTTCTGAGGTGATTCAGTGAAAACGATGCTCAAACAGTTGTAATACTGGGTTTGAGTTGTCATCTCTTCATTGGTTTCTGGCTGTGATCACTCGGTTGTCTTCTATGAATGATTGTTGGGATCTGTGTGGAGAGAATTCACAGTTTGTGTGTTCTGTCACTTCGCTCTGCTGAGTCTTCCGCTGCGTTTCTTTCTGTTGGGCGGTGTGATACTCCACTACCTCTCCCCTTCCTTCTGTGCATGTATGGGCGTGTTCCTGTGAGTGAGTGTTGATAAAATTTCAACAGACAATCATGTTCATAACATATACATTTCAGGCTCTCGGATTGAAATAACTGGCAAAGAACACCTGATCTTTTCCATCCTTTGATCATCACATTCTTCACTGCTGATTTTTTTTTTCGGTTCAACAAATAGGTTTGGGTGAACTGGAGGTTTAAAGCACTAGTACCCCTGCCAGTGTTGGGAAAATAGGAAAAACTGGCAGTTTTCCCAGACTCCTAAGAGATCGGGGACAGGGCCTGACGACGGCCGCCATTGATAAACCTCATCGGCGGCCGTCGTTTCATTTCAGCCTCCAAGAAGATCGGAGGCCCACCCGAGGCCGACCTATTTTCCCAACAACAGTCGTATTTTTCATCACCACTTCAGGACACCCTTCACCACTTCAGGATGCAGCCTGCCTAAACAGGTGGTATTCAGGGTCTTCAGACCTTTCACCACTTCAGGACCATTCAGGTCTAAAAATCCTGAATGGTCCTGAAGTGGTGAAAGCTCCGAAGACCCTGAAAACCACCTGTTTAGGCAGGCTGCATCCTCAAGTGCTGAAGGGTGATTTTCATGGTCTTCGGACCTTTCACCACTTCAGGACCATTCAGGATTTTCAGACTGCCCAAAACCCTCACTTCAGAATTTTCATTCCTGAATTTTCAGCTACCCGATAACCGCTTGTGGTGGCGGAGGTACAAGTGATTTAAGATCTCAGAAAACCACCTTCCGTAACCAGTAGCTTGTGTTCAACACGCAGTGCGCAACACAAGTCCAATGACTTTGGCACCCCTATTCAACCCTCCCCCAGGATAGGCGGAACATGGTCACCCACAAAGGGGAGCGGCGTAAGAGAGAGAGAGAGAGAGAGAGAGAGAGAGAGAGAGAGAGAGAGAGAGAGAGAGAGAGAGAGAGAGAGAGAGAGAGAGAGAGA